CTGATTGGCCACTGTAACCCTATAAAAGTGAGTGCCTCTCCCGCCATGAGAGAAGAAGCACGGAACAGACTGCAGAGAAGAAGCACAGAAGGAGCCGCGGAGAGCGGACCGGTAGAGGCTTCGGGACAGACTGTAGAGAAGAAGCACGGAAGGAGCCACGGAGAGCGGACCGGTAGAGGCTTCGGGGCAGACTGTATAAGGAGAGAATAAAGAAAAGCCTGACCACCGCCAGATATTGTTGCGTGTTCTTCCTGCCGGCCGGGAGCGACACCGACACTGAGAAACTCCTTTATTAAGGTCATCATTTCTTTCTTTACATAACAGATTATTTCTGATCTAATTTCCTGTATAGCCTCATGGATTTGTTTCTTTACTTCACTTGCTATCTTTTCAGAAATTTCAGGTATGTGACTTCCAACATCCTCTATTTTGATGTTTCCTGTAGTTGTTTCAGATGGGCTGGTGGTTGACATTGCATTTTGCCTTTTCATTTTGTCATTTTCATGTCTTGGTTAACATATAGGTTTTTTCAATCCTGCTTATTTCACCTATCCATCATGTGTATCTTAAGGTCCTACTGTGTAGCTGACATTCACCCAGTTGCTGGGTCTTGCAGCATAGAGAAGGGCCAGTTACCTGAATTCCTCCTGCAGGGCCATTTGGGTAAGTCCTATATTCTTCCTAGGCTGACTACCCTAGGGGTATTGATGTGAACCAAACTTTAGTTCATATTGTTATTTGTGGCTTCAGACCTTTCCCAGCTGTCAGAAACACCTGTCCATGGTGCACACCAGTCAGGATCCTGCTGTGTTACTGTGGGTCTTTTAGGCCCACTTGGGTTCCTCTGCATGGGGAGAGGCTTCACTGGCACTCTTTCCAGCCTACCTAGAGTTCTCTGCATGGAAGAAGGACTCAGCCATGCTCTTGCCAGTCTGCCAACATCCTCCAGGTGGAGGAGGGTTTGCAAAGGCTCCTGATGACCCACCAAGGTCTTTTGCCTTGGAGAGGACTTGACACACTCTTGCTGGCCTGCCTAGTACTTTGGGTGGGGGGAGGAGGTCGTTGAGGTTCCTGTTAGTCCACTGAGGTACTGCAGGTGGTGGAAGAAATCCCTGATGCTCCCATAGGTTGCAGAGGTTGTCAAGGTGTCAAGGAGGAGCAGCCAAAGCTGTCAGTTGCTGAGGTCATCTGGGTACAGGGGAAGGTTGGTCAAAGCTTCTACTGACTGCCAAGGTTGGAGAAGCCACGAGTGTGGATCATTGGAGGAAAACGTAAGGAGTGAGCAGAACTGGCCAAAGAGAGAACCTATGGAAATTGTAATTCCCATGGTAATTCCACTGTAATTCCACTTTGGTGCCACCAAAGTTCTTTGGAATTCACATCTTGTCTGAGATTATTCCAGATAATGGATATGAAATGACAGGACTTAATGTGTGCCTTGATGGAATCTGGACTTGCTTTTTTCTCATTTTTTCTAACCCCCTATTTGGAACCTTTGGAATGGGAATGTTTATACTGTGCCATTGTGTTTTGGAAGTGTTTAACTTTTTTTTATTTATAGAGTTCGCCTTAAAATCTCAGAAGAGACTTTGAACTTGGACTTGCAATGCTGAAACTGATAGGACCTTGGCAACTCTTAGAGATGGACTAAATTGATTTTGCATAAAGACATAAACATGAGTCTTTTGGTAGAATTATTCTTTATCCATGTGCTAGGTAATTTGGTTACTGCTGTTACTCATGGATCCACAGGCACAAAGGAAAAAGGAATTTTGTATAAAATCATCAGCGTCATACCCCATTCTGCCAAAACAGAAAAAAATCCTTGTTCACAAGGAGCATGGGAAATGTTGGTGGGAGACTAAATAGGCAAATCTCTTTGACATCCTCTAATGAAGTTGAAGATAACTACACCCTAGTAATTGCATTCCAATGTATTTACCCTGGAGAAAATATTGGCAAATACAACCTGCCTACACATGTATAAGAAAGTTTATCATAACATCAATAATGTGAACAAACTTTATTCATCTACAGAATTGTTTTTTAAATGGGTAAATCTATGGTGGAATCATGTACACTCCTATGAACATATTCTCACTACATTTAGAGTGTTTAACACACTGGGTAAGGCTTGTGGACATTAGGATGTGTGAAAGTAGCAAGTTAAATTCTATTAATAAAAGTTAAGGAATATGCAAAGTGAAACTATGCTATCATATTTCATAACATAGATAAAACTGTAAAGGAAATAATTACCAGAAATCTCAAAATAGTAGTTACTTCTGGAGGGATGGATACAGGGCAAGAGTGTAAGAATAAAATAATCACAGGAATATATGCCAAAACATATTTTTGACAAATCAGAATTACAAACTAATATTAAAACACTGTGAAATCCAATGAAAAAATGGACCAAAGGCATAAACAGACATTTTGCTGAACATGGTGACCATCTGAAAAGACATTCAGCATCATTTTCTATCAGAGAAATGAAATTAATATCGCAATGAGATATCACTATTCACCTACTGGAATGGTAAAAGTAAAAAAGGGTAACAATAGCAAATATTGGTGAGTAATGCAGAAATTGATTCATTCGTGTATTGTTAGAATGCACAAGTGATTCAGCAATTCTGGAAGTAGAATTTCTTTTCAAGGGAAACGTAAAATACCCTTTAATCCATAAGTTGTATTCTTGGGCATTTATCACAGAGAAAGGAACTTATATTCATACCAAAATATAAAGTGAGTATTCTTAACAATTTTATTCATAGCTAGTCCCAAACTGTAAAGAGCTCAGTTGATCAGAAGATAAATGGTTGAATAAATTGTGATACGTATCTATTATGGCAAACTACTGAGATGCAAAAAGAGAACACACTATTGAATCAAGAAGTTTTTGGATGGATCTTTAGGGAATTACACTCAGTAGGAAACATTGCTGTTATGGACTATATTCCTTTGGCCATATCCTTTGGCCTTCCTAGGCCTCATGTAATATGAACACAGTTGAAACTAGCATTTGTGATTGGTTTGTTGTCTAGTGCTGGCATTGGTGATGTGAGTGCTACACCTGCCTAGAGGTAGGGCAGCAATATGATATAATGGTGAGAAGAAGGTGTGTCTTGCTCTTTGGTTTTTACTTTTGTTGTTTGGAGCAGCCATGAATGCTTCCCTGCCATGCTATGCTGCCTTGGAGCCAACTTAGAATGGACTGAAACCTCCAAGAACTGTGAGAAATAAACTTTTCTTTCCCTAACTTTGGGTATCAGGTATTTTGTCTCAACAATGGGTAAAAAGTAACCAAGACAGAATTTGGTATCGAGAGTGGGGTCATTGCTGTGACTATACCTGGCCATGTGGTTCAAGAGCCTTTAGAAATGGCTTGTGGGCAGAGTTTGGAAAGGTTCAGAGATGTCACTTGAATGAATAGAGCTGGAGCAGCTTAGGCTTTTCTGCAGAGGAGATTCTGGTCAGAGCTCAGGGGACCATCAGGCAGGTAAGAAGCCTGCCTGTAAAGATCAGGCTCGAGAAGTTTCTGCTGGGAAGAAGGATCACATTGGTTATTGGACCCCACATGATGTGTGTTATGGCTTGGCAGAAAAGTTTTCTGCATTTTACTCATGTCCAGAGGCTTTGCATGACATTGAGATTAAGGATGATAGATTGATTAATTTGGCAAAAGAAATTTCACATCATGGAGGCACTATACTTACCAGTGCAGTCACCCTTTTGTCAGTTTAGGAGTTAATTGTGCTGTTAGGAGGTGGTTGGAGGTGGTCACTGGGTGCCTGACCCTGAAAAGTGTATTCTTTTGCTAAGAACCTCCTTTCTCTCTCTGTCTCTATCTCTCAGTCTGTCTGTCTCTGTCTCTGTCTCTGTCTGTCTCTCTGCTTCCACAGTGCCATGAGTTGAAAAGCTTGCTCTTCCATGCCCACCCAACCATGCTGCATCTGCCTTGTAGTTAGATGACCTTAGACTGGAACCATGAGCCAAAACAAACCTTTAAGTTGTGGGTGTCAAATATTTTGACACATATTTTATGGTCCTGATTTACCATTCTATTATTAAAGTTATTTAGTCATCAGAGTCAATATTGGGAAACGTTCTCTATTTGCTCTCCAAAGCCTCTTGCAAGCTATCTCTTTATTCCACCCTCAAGGCAGAGTACACACCCTACCCCACTGACCTAGGAACAACAATCTTCTTGTCACCCTTTTGCTTCCTGCTCACACTGTTGAAAAGGGCCTGACTGATACCCACCCTTCCACAGATCTGTCGTCATTCTTGATCATGCACTAGCTGTGTATCTCAGTTCCTTGACATTCTAACTTCTGCTGATCCCAATTCCTCCATAGTTGCTGAGGGCTCCAGTCACAGTCTGCTAATTTTCACCTGAGGAACTCATCTCATCAGTCACAGATTGGAACATCCTATTTCTAATCTGTGACTTACTCACTCCAGCTTTTCTGTTTTCTAACAAGCCTAACAAGGCTTTTTGAACTATTTTCCTTCCATCATTCTTCCCATCACATTTCTTTGTTTGCTGTCCCATTTCAGCTCTGACACCTAGACCTAGTATTAGTCATCTTGTTGGAGATATGCAAAGTTTGATTGGATCTTTTTTCTGTTTGCAGCATCTGCCTACACACAAAATCCATCTAGAAGGACTCAGTCACTGACCTCCCCTGTGTCAGTGCTTGAGTGATAGACTATTGGCATAGAAATCATAAAACCAATTCATATTGGCATCACAGTATGGTGTTAATTAGGTAGTTCAGCACATGTCTAGATAAGCTAGCAAATTCACTTTTGTTCTGTAGAAAACTTGATCCTTCTTCCTCTGCATTTGCTGTTTCCCTAAGTCTCTCTCAGAAGACAACTTGCAGCAGATATTTTAAGATTGTCCTTGTTCAGAAAGTCCTAACTTTTCTTGAGTTACATGAAATCACACTGAGACTAATCTTAAGGTTTTTATTTTATTTCAAATGGCCATGGGGAGATTGTAAGGATGGTTCTAGGGAATATGGCAGATAGTCAACAATCATTTGCATAAATTTATACATTTTAAAAAATTTTTCACTGAAAAATATCCCCACCAAAATATCCTTTGTTGCCTTCCAATAGGAAAATGATACAGCTTAGATTGAAAGGAACGTGAAGCACAACTGATGTTTTGATCTCATGCATACTGGTAGGAAAATGATTTCATCAACATTTATCAGAATGTTCCGGTTCCTAACCTCGTCCCATAATTTTCCTTTTTCATTTTACAAAAGAAATTTATATATTTATTTCTGGAGTCCTACCCTGCTACATTCCTGTGGTATAAACCTCTGATGCATTAAATCAAGGAAAATTTCTAAATATTAGTAACAGAGATGTTTCTTCAACTAAACCCACTAGTATAACTTTTTCTACTTTGAAATGTCCTTTGAGTAGACTTACTTAAAATATGGTGTGATTTTGATGTTTTGTTCATAGATAACAGGAAAGTTTGAAATATACAATCTTCAGTTTTACAGAGTGTTTTAACAGATGTGAACCAGTTTTAGTTTCATGAACAAGGTGCTCTAAATTAAAAAGTGACTGGTTTAATTTGTAGTCACTTAATGAAGGACATTTATAAGTTCATAATATTTTTCTTAGATGCTAAAAATAAGTGTCTGTAATATCTGCTTCATAGATTTCTTTGCAAATCCAGGAGATTTCAATTCTTTCTTTTCATCAGGATAGAAAGAGGACCTGAGAATGACAGATGACAGAAAATAAGTTTCTTTATAAATAACTAGAGTTTTGTTACATAACTCAGAAAGAGCTTGAACAGCTGAATAATAGTGCATGTCCAAATTCTTATCATTAGCATCAATTTATATGCACAAGTTTTCCCACCATGAGCACATCTAGAAGAATGGGAATGGACATTACACCGAACCTCATTTTCTTTGAAGAAATAAGTGATAATTGCCCACATAAAAATAAACAAATTTTTATAAATCCTACCCTTTTCATTCAAAGATTATTATGGATATTTACTTTTTTCAGTCAATCAAAAATTTTACACCATATATGTATATAGGCATATATATATTCTGATTTATATAATGATAACTAAGTTCATAAAAGTATCTTAACAGTTTGAGCCTCCATTTATTCGTTATGAATATGATAATATTAAATACAAAAGCATATGTATTGTTACTGTAAGGATTATTATTAGGGTCACAAGGTAAAAAATTTGAAGCAAGAATATATTAAATTAACATGAAATCCTACAGTAGAACTAGAATAAAAATATAAGTCCAAGAAGAAAAGTAGGTGATGCAAGACTCAAGTACTGTATCTATTAATAAAGAACATGTTCATTTTTAAGTGAGTAATAGTGGGTATTAAAAACCAGTATGGATACACTGGGGAGAATATTACAGTTTTATTATTTAATAGTATTTTACATTGCATCATAAATCACATTGTTAAGCCATTTAACTTTTGGTGAAAATGTCTAAGTATTAATATAAAATATGAGACAAATTGACTAATCTTCAAAATCCTTTTAGAGAATACTAAAACAATGATTTTGAATATTTCTACTGCAAGCCAAACACAGTGTTCCTCCCGTTGCCAGGGCAGAGCCTAGTGTTGAACTTGTGATCAAGTCTGATCCAGGAAAGTCTAGGCAGAAGTAAATGGGGGTAGTTCAGGGGAAGGATTTAAAAATGGTTTCTCTTTTCCTCTCTTTTTGTTTTAATGCCTATGAGAATGAGACTCTTTTTGCCAATGTAGTCATTCTGTACCCTGGGGGAGGTGCTGTACCACTCTGAGGGTTGTGGAATGGAAGGATGGAAACCCTTGGATCCTTGCTCTTGTTGTTGAGCTACTTCTCTAAAACTATTCAGCCCAAACTTTACATTCAAGGGGTAAAGTTTAATTGCTTAAGTGTTTCAGGTTTGGATTTCTGTTGGTTATAACTACATCCTCTAGAAAATTGAGTACTCCCTTATATGCTAAGGAAGATGAACCTACTATTATTTCTTTCCCATAATGAGAACTGCAAACCCGAAAAGATTCATCAATGAATTTTACCAATAATTTAAGAACAAAATAAGATCAGCCTTCAATTCTTCCAAAGAACATTTAAAAAGGAGGAAATCTCACCACATTTTATGTAGTCAGAAAACCTTGACTCTAAAAACTGACAAGGACACAGGACCTCCAGCAGTGTGCAGCACTGGGCTAGAGCTGGCCCCTCCTGTGCCCCTGCTATCATGTCACCCACCTTGGGACACAAGACCTCCAGTGGCATGCAGGGCTGGGCCAAGCCGACCACTTCTGCACTCTTGCTATCCCACTGCTGCCTTCGTAGACCTCTGACTCCCAGACCTATGATTGCTGTTGATCTTCAGCTCCCACTTCTCCCCCTAGAACCTTGAACTGCAGTGGATTAACTGTGCTTGGTTGATGGGAGACTCAGTAACCCCTCATCCAAACAGAAGACCTCAGTAGGCTTCCATTGGTGTGGTGAATTTGCCCCTAAATAAGAATAGAGTTTGCCACCTTCAGTGGATAAACAGGAGCACTAGCCAAGCCAATTCAGAAGTAGGATGTTGGTGAGCTTGGCAAGAGTGTGGGTGAGTCTTTCCTCCACACAGAGAACATCAGGTAGGTTGAGGAGGGCGTCAATAAAGTCTCCCCCAACCTGTAGAAAATTAAAAGGGCTTATGAGACACAGTGACACAGTAGAGTCCCAGCCAAGACAAACACTAAACATGGATACCTTGTGACTCAGAACAACCTGAAGACATAATAACAGCGGGAACTAAAGGTTCATTTACATCAATACTACTAGGCTTGTCAGCCTAGGAAGAATATAGAACTCACTGATCAGGCCCTGCAGGAGGAATTCAGGTTACTGGCCCACCTCTTTATTGAGGGACACAGCAATTGGACAAACATCAACCATACAATAGGACCCTAAGATGCACACTACTGATAGTTGAGACCAGTGGGATTGAAAGACCAAATATTAACCCAAAAGGTGAAAATGACAACAAAAAAGCAAAATGCAATCTAAAACATCTAGTCCATCAGGAGCAAGTACAGCAGGCATTAAAATAGAAGACTTTAGAAGTCATACACCTGAAATCTCTGAAAAGATAGCAAGTGAAATAAGGAAACAATCCATGAGGATATAGAGGAAATCAAATTAGAAACAGTTTCTCAGATAAAGACAAAAATGACAACCTTAGTAAAGGAGTTGCTCAGCATAGCTAGAGAAGAAATACATTTAAAAAAAGTACAGGAACATGGGAAACTGATTGAAACCTTGAATGAACAATATAGAAAACAAGCATAATCCATGAAACAAACTCAAAGAGACATCCAAGAAACAAAAAATTCTACTGAAAGCTGGCAAAACCATTTAAATGAAGCTGAGAATAGAATTTCAGACCTCGAGGACAGGATTGTAATTAGTGATCATGAAAGGCTAGGACTTTTAAAAACAACAAAGCATCATGAAATGACAATCCAGCAGTTTCAAGATGATGCCAACAGAAACAATGTAAGACTAATAGGCATCAGTGAAGATGCAGGAGTCAACACAAATGACATAGGTAAACTATTCATAGAAGTAATAGCAGAAAGTTTCCCAAACATGGTGAAAAATCTGATATGCAGATAAGTGAGGCATACAGAATGCCAAACAGTCACAACCAACATAAATCTGCACCCAGACATATAATAATTAAGATCCCAGACATACAGTATAAAAACAGAATACTAAAAGCTGTTAGAGAAAAGACACAACTCACCTATCAAGGAAAGCCCATTAGAATCATGACAGACTTGGGCGCTGGGGATTTAGCTCAGCGGCATAAGTGCCTGCCTTGCAAGCAGGCAGTCGTGAGTTCAATCTCCGGTACCGATAAAAAGGAAAAAGGCAAAAAAAAAAAAAAAAAAAAAAAAGAATCATGACAGACTTTTTGGCACAAACTCTCAAATCAAGATGAGCTTGGAGTGAGGTGTTTCAAGCCCTGAAAGAAAACAGCTTTCAACCCAGATTGATAGACCCAGAAAAAATTTCTTTATAATTTAATGGAGAAATAAGATACTTCCATGACAAAGAACAGCTGAAGAAATTCATGTCTACCAAACCAACCCTCGAAAGAGAATTGAAGGACATACTAGCTAGAGATAAAAATGCCACAATCTCCAGAACAACAACAGAAAGAAACCACCAGGCAAGGCAAGCAATTAACAAGGGGGAAAAGCAGAAAACAAACAACTGGAACATAGCAAGGCAAAGTTGAGCCAATACGTATCAGTTATATCCACAAATGTAAATTGTCTCAATTCACCTATCAAAAGAAATAGGTTGACAAAAATGCATCAATAAATAGGATCCCACAATATGCTGTATTCAAGAAATACATATGGCCCAAAAGGAAACTCATAGATTAAAAGTCAAAGGATACAAAACAGTATTATATGCAATAGAAACCCAGAAAAAAACAGGAGTAACTATTCTATTTGCAGACAATGTGAACTTCAAAACTTAAATGATTAAAAGAGATAAAGAAGGTCACTACATATTTGTTAGTGGAAAAATTCAAGAGGAAGAACTAATAATTATGAATATATATGCACCAAGTACAGGAACACCCAACTATGCAAGACAAATACTAGTGGACATGAAAAATCAAATACACAAGAACACAATTATAACAGGGGATCTTAATACCCCATTGTCACAAAGAGATAGATCAACTAGACAAAAAGTCAGCAAGAAATAATAGAACTGAATCATACCTATGAGCAAATGACTTAGTTTAATATACATTCTTCTCAGCTGCACATGGGACATTCTCCAAAATATACCATATATTAACCCATAAAACATTCTTAAGTAAATGCAAAGGGATTGAAATTATCCCATGCATATTATCTGACCATAGTGTACGTAGATTGGAAATTAATGGCACAAGAAATTGCAAAACCTGCATAAATACATGGAAATTAAATAACAATCTTCTGAACAACTACAAAGACACTCAGCCACCTGATATTTGACAAAGGGGCTAAACATGTTCACTGGAAGAAGGATAACCTTTTTAATAAGTAGTGTTGGAAAAATTGGCTCTCCACATGCTGAAGACTGAAAATAGACTCATGCCTATCACCAGGCACTAAACTAAAGTTAAAATGGATCAAAGATTTAAATATTAAAACAAGAACACTAAATCTACTGGAAGACAAGGTAGATAGAAATCTTGGGGACATAGGAGTAGGCAGAGAATTCATGAACAAAAGGCAAACTGCATGGGAAACACTTCAAAGAATCAACAACGGGGATCTCATATTACTAAAAAGTTTTTGCACTTTGAATGAAATCCTAATAGAGTGGAAAGAAAATCCACAGAATGGGAAAGAATTTTAGTCAGACCCCTCAAAGGACTTATATCCAGAACATGTAAAGAATTGAAAAACATCAAGCCCCCCAAATTCAAAGACCCTCTCCAAAAATGGGCATGAGATGAACACACATTCTCAGATGAAGATATACAAATGGAAAATATCTACATGCAGAAATGTTCACCATCACTGGTCACTCGAGAAATACAAATTAAAACAACATTGAGATTCCATTTTACTCCAGAAAGAGTGACTGCCATCAAGAAATCAACTGATAACAAATGTTGGCGAGGCTGTGGGGAAAAAGGAACACGTCTCCACTGTTGGTGGGAGTG